GACGTCGCTGTCCTCCGCTCCTGGGTGGTCAACGCAGCCAACTCTGTCTAAGAACCTTGCTCAATAAACACCGATTATGAACATGAAACTCAAAGTATTTAATGGATTTCTTATTTAATTTAGTTCCTAACATTTCAGAATACACACGCACAGTTAAAGAACGCTTTGTGCAATATCCGTGTTGTTGGTAGTATGACCGCAACTCCGTCTGCTTAAATGTAATACATTTCATCATTTTCAAAGCCAAAAGCTCGAGTTTCGGATTTTTCGATGGAATCATTAGTTTATAATGTTTAATGTTTGCTTAAACGGTCATTTGATGCTATATGTCTTATAACAGCGCTATTTTATTCATTGGCTGGCGGAATTGCACTGAGATCAAGGCTCTGAAATTTCCCTGCAAGAATTTAAGCAATTTATGAAAATACGTTGCAGTCGGGCTTTACCGACTGCGGAATACTTATTTACACCCCATCAGGAATTTAATAGCTATACTTTGTTTTAATACTGTAGATGAAAATTTCACCTCTCTCATTTCTACTGACGGACGGACAGATGTACATGGCTATATAGAGTCAGCTCGCCGTGCTGATCAAGAATATATATACTTTAAGAGGTCCGCGATGCTTTCTTCTGCCTGTTACATACTTTTTCACTAAAACATTATACCCAGATTTCCCATCGGACCTAAACAAAATTAGGTCTATAGCTCTTATTTCTTCTAAAATCTAAGCCCCCAAGCATACGACCAACCGGATAGCAGACAGACAGGGCTAAATCAACTCAGCTCGTCGTCCTGACCAGGAATATATGCTATACTCTATGGAGTCTACCAGCTTTCTTTCTGGCTTTTTTATATTCAATAAACAAAACCATTATACCCTGATTTCTCATTGAAAATGTGTTTAGGGTATATAAAATAAATGTTAATGTATACAGTTCAGCCAAAGTGTTAGTTACATGTAGCTTCGGTAATCAATCGGTCACTCAACAATTATTTCCACGAGGAATTAGAAAACGTGGTGATATAGAAAACGTTCCAAATCTTAAAAATCTGGCTTTAATACTATACGTCTTTATTGATAATCTAAATTAACTAAATTAACTATTTTCATTCCGTGACAAGTATAAATAACTCATGATTGCTCGACTAGAAGATAACCTGACCTCTGCGAAAATCTGATATATTTATTATTGTTCCTCGTTTCGTATATATTGCAATAATAAGAATAATTTTTCAAAGGTCGTAAAAAATCCCAACAACCTAAATAAAAATATCCCGTTATTCGTCACTAAATTTGTAGAAAGCTATAGCTTACTGTGGGATTTGCTAAGACTATGTGATGGACTGGGAGCTGGGAAAGGCTGAGCTCGGTGCCCAAAATTATAGATTAATTAATTAATTTTTTGCCCAGGAATATGACATGAAGAAGTAGTGGAGCATAATGATCTTTTCCGACGTAAAAATGTTCCGGATGGCTAGAATTATTTTTATACCCTGAACCCATTGAAAATGGGAAATCAGGGTATAATGGTGTTGTTGAAATGTATGTTACAGGCAGAAGGAGGCGTGGCAGACCCCATAAAGTATATATATTCTTGATCAGCA